ATGTCAGAAACCAAAGAAATGGGATCTTTTCAAATTAAGGATTTCTGGATAATATGGAAATAAATTGTCCAGCTCCATCTGATTTACTTTCCTTGTCTCTTCTTTGATATGCATGTGTAATGACTGAGAAAAATGACGAGTTGTTGCAAAGAAACAAGTGAAGATTTTCGAGCAAAGTGTTGTGTACATATTATAGGGTTCGAATTGATGTTGATATAAAACAATAGAAGAATAATGACTTTTGATCCATACCACCGATAATGAATCAAACAAAATCACAGAAAAAATATAAATTGAATTTCCCAATTTCGAAGGGAAGAAAGAGCAGATACACTAAATTTATGTCATAAGACTACGGTACTGACCTCCTGGCAGTTCAAATAACGAAATAAACAGTTTCCACAGAAAAAATAGTCGAGCTTGACATTAGAATAGAGCAGTGTGTCCTTGGTTACTGGTATATTCAAAAGAGAGGGGATCTGCACCAAACAAAATGATTCAATGAAACCATGTTATGGAAATGTAACTATTAGAATAATGGAAAGCCAAAAACATTTAAAAAAATAAAATAAAATAATAAAAATAAAAAATAAAACCTCGAGACAGGTACTGCTTGTCTACTGTCTGGTGGATACGAACATCTTCGAGTCCAGAAATGCATCATCACGACATATATCCTTTCAGTCTCACACCACAAAATATTTGAGAACTCATCGCATAAAATGTAAATGATAAAAAGGAGAAATATTGAAGTACAGAGAAGATAACAGCCCAAGGCAGTGTCGAGTAGTGGAAGGAAAAAAAAAATTGTTAACCAAAAGCAGATTATGTCCTGCTATTTCCTCTTTAATATGTCACCAGAGGATTGGATTAACCTAGCCATCAATTTTTATCCATTCCACGGTATATATGCCAGTTGATTTTAATAAAAATGGACAAAGAAAATCTTTTATACTCCAGATAAACTATTTTCAGTTGCCAACAAAATTCCAACCAGCTCAAATTACAGTACTTTGTATATAATCCAAAAACCAATTGCAGTTATTGCTAGATCAACTACATGCTGGATACTTGACCAAACGCTAATTTTATTGAATAAATTTCAAGTGGTTACAAGAAAAAATTTGAGATAACAACGATGAAAGCAGTAAGCTCTATGGTAGCAATTCAACTAAATAAAAAAGATGCTGTTGGGTCTCTATCAATAGAAACTTACCCTCGGAAGACTATAAATTAGAAGAACGCCACTTCTACGATTTTGACAAAAGCAGCTGGGGCTTCAGTTTCCTCCAGCCAACGTGTAGATGGTCGGGAAGCAACCATCACATTCAACATATTCTACAATGTTGGGGCATGTGGTGCACCACAGACAACGACCCCAACCAATTGGCCTGCTCATATGATACAAAATATTCACTTTCGGTACAGGAATTAACAATGAATAAATGATCAATAAGATTCAGAAGTGAGAAATCTTCAGCAAACAGTGACATCAATAGTTGGCAATAACTAATCAAATAGAAAAAACAGCTGCATATCCAAGAATACCATGAATGAAGATGCTTCTATACATTTTAAGTCTAGCACAACATACATTCAAAAGTATGGATGGCAACAAGTACATACTATGCTGATGCATAAACAACTAATTCAGCTCTTAAGAGCTTGGCTGAGTTCAGACTTTTGAGCTTAAACACTTGTTTAGCAAAGTTTAAATTATAATTTAAATTGGCCAAAACCCCCTTTTTATTCATTCCAATATGTGGACTCACAATTTATCAACCACTTTTTATACATACATTTTGTGAGATCACATCTTAAATTTTAATTTAAATACTTCCAAATAAGCACTTAGCTTCGTCCATCTTGAAGGTGATAATAAATTAAGCAAAGATTCATCTATTTTAAACTAAAATACATCAAATCTAACTTGCTATGTTATTGAAAATTGCATTCAGATCCCTCAATCTTTTTTGTAACTAAAAAAATCCTAAATTTCCAATTTCCAATTTAAGTAATTGAGTTTCGGCAATGGCGGTCATGGAGCCGGTGGCAACGATGGTGGTGGGAAGAGGGGAGTGGAGAGGGAAGGGAAAGGGATTTTTTTTTTTTTTATTTCTAATTTTTAATAATTTATTTAGGGCTAGTTTGCATTTTTTAAAAGAATTTAGGACTAAAGTTGCAATTCCTTTTTTAATTTTTTTTCTTTTTGTTTTATTTAAATAGGACGATATATTCGTCATTTCACAACTGTTTTATTGAGAAAAAGAATGATGCGGGGTAAAACACACCAAGTTTCATACAAGAATATTTTTTTTCAGTTCCAAAAGTTGAGAGGTTTTGCACAATAGGTCTCAAAGATAGGGGTAATACGACAATCAGCCTTTCAAAAATTTGGAGTAAGATTTTTTTCTTTCAAAAATCAAATGTATCCTGCTCCCCACAACAAACCCTAATTTATTCTTTTTCACATTCCCCAATTCATAATTACATCCACACCACCACAACTGTTGTCCACCGTCGTCACCACCGCATGTCGCCATCGTCGCCCCAATTCCAAGCACCACGCTTGCTACCACCATGGTGGATATACTATCAAGACTCCCTGCAACTTCCAAGCATCGTCACGCTAATTCCAAGCACTCGCTACCACCAGGCAACAACAGTGCCCGATGCTACTATAACATGCAATGCGCCTTGAGATAGCTCAACAAGTGTGGCCAGACACGACGTCAATAGAGTAAAAGTGAAGGGGAAAATTTTGGGTTTGGGTGTTGATTTGAGGTCGGGGGCTAAAGTGCAATTTGTGAAATACAGACCCTACTTGCAATTTTAGATTGGAGGTCATTTCGCAAATGGTGGTTGTTGGTGGTGCTGGAGCTAGTGGATGGTGATGGTGTTTCATATGATTGAGTGGGATAAGAGCATTTGTAATCAATTATTTTTTATGATTGTAACCAATATGTAGATGATTAAATTAATAATTTGTGAACAATAAATAATATGTGGTCTAAAAAAATGTGTAATTGCGACTAATTTGTATTTGTCACTCACAATTTATATCTTTGTGACTGTGATACTATGTAATTTGTGACTTTAACCAAAATTGTGTATTATTGTGACATTGACCTCTAATCAGGTGGTCACAATTTGTTATCACTTGATTTTTTAAACTTTTTCACTAGTTTGTTTTTTTTTTATCTTCGAAGTCCACTTTGAAATCTTTGTAGTTGTGTACTCTTCTCTTAATAAAACCACAAGCCTCATGGCCCGAATAATTAATCTTTATTTATTAACTTTCGCCTACAAACTAAAGGAGGCCGTTAGGGTGCAAGAGGTCATCGCCTTTGAAAAGATTGGGGATGTCAAGTCCAAAACGGGTTTACTTAATTCATTCGATCCAGTCCAATTAATATAATCAATTGACGTATTGAAACGGTCAATGTGCAACTCCCTCCACCACATACATGTCACGTAATTAATATGGATAACAATTGTATGTTTCTATTTTTTATCTAATAAATTATTATTTTTATTTGTTCATTTGGTACCTATGGATGGGATTCTCAGTCGATAAATTATCTAGCATTTTGTAATTTACTATGATGATGTTTTACTTAATTATATAATTTGTCAGTAGTTTGGTGACTAAACGTGCAATTTAGAAAGTGAAAATTTAGAATTACTTGATTGCCGCCATTGATCTCTCGACACATCTCAGCCAACGGTCCAAATTAATCACTACTATATTGGCCATAGGGTAACAATCCTAATATGCTAGGCTGCTTTTTCGGGCATTAATGGGCATTTTCTTGTGGAATCCAGTGTTATTTGTTCTTAAATCATGGATAGTTGTTGACCAAGACTTTTGCTTGTTCTGCACCATCGCGATCAGCAGGACCAAGAATTCAATCATTTGTACGCCCTTGGTTGTGCTTTATTTTAATTTTAATGCATTTTTTACGTTCGCTTTTTAATCTTATATTTTCTAATAAATAATTATACATCTAGTTTTAAATATATTTTTTCTTTTTTAATTACATATTCTTCACAAAAAAAAAATAAAAAAAATCACTGTTTCAAAATACATTAAAATGGAGCCTAAACAAGGCTACATTTCTGGATTAAAATCAACACAACTAACCGTGAAGAAACAAGTAATTAAATTTGCAATAATATAAGAGGGAGTCTCTTATTTAGAGTCGGACTGGGATCTCCAATTCAAGAACAGAATCTTCAGCTTGAAGCTTATTCCAGTACAGAAATTTACCTGCATTTGGAAAGATTATTGCTGGCTGATTATAAGAACAGGAGTTATTGCAAAATGAAACAAGTGAGGATTGATCATTAGAAATTCAAAATGGATGACAAACAAACAATTCATCACTGTGTTTATTTCTAATTACACACGAATTTGGTGCAAATGTATGCATTTATATAATGATTAAAATTCAATTGGAATATTAATTTCATTTCACTATTTTTTTATATTAATGACAACAAATTTCAAACATTAATCTTGAATTATTATTTTTATTTGGTATCTCATTACCTATGGATGGGCCTTTCCATTTGTTAAAATTTATATTGTTTTTATTTAGCGTCAAAATTTCAATTGATGAATTACATTTATTAAAAAGGGACTCAAATAGATTTACAGTTGTTTGTCTTAGATAATTTTAAAGTTTTGCAACTGAAATTGTGTGTGTGTTATTTCTTGATCGAGGTGAAATTGACTGTCTAGATGTGGAATAGAGATCAAAGAACTCCAACCGTATCATCTATGCATTTCAGACCAAACTGATGGAGTTCAAGAGAGAGCATTATTTAATTTACTATGATGTCTTGCTTAATCAGGGTCAAAGTTATAATTTGTCAGTAGTTTAGTGACTAAAGGTGCAATTTCATTTAAAAAATGAAGTCCGTAGTTACCAAGAAAATGAGAAATGAGGGCAACAAGTAGGGTCACTTCACAAATGCTTTTCCCAATCGGATCCAGCATTTAAAGGCTTCACCATGGCGGCAGGACCAACACATCAATCCTTTCTATGCGTCTGAATCAAAGTCAGCACACCAAAGCAATTCAGGTATTAAAGTTTCAATAATTCAAGTGAGATTCTCTTATTCGAGATTTTGTAGCTAGATGTCTAATAACTATGATAATTGGGAAAGACTTGTGGAAGTTGTTCTCCGTAGGGAACAACTCAGGCAACTTGCTTTAATTTCCTCAAGGGAACCAAGTTTCAGCTCTATATCTGGGTGGAGTACACCGATTCGTGGTGATCGGAATGTTCAACTTGGATATTCTTCTTCAAGTACAGTAAATGAAACGGATTGGGAGAGATTGTTGCCACCTGATTATAAGGATATCGTCTCCAGATCTGTGAATCCTGTGGTTTATGCAACCAAGGAAGATCTGTATATGAGTCTTTGTAGCTCTCCTATTTTACTTGATGGAGGCAAAATGGTATGTATATCCTTAATTATTATGTTTACGCAAAAATCTTAATCTTAAAAAAATAAATAAATAAATAAATAAATAAAAAATTCCGTTGATAAGGCTTCTTACTTATGTCTGAATTTATCACTTAATTACAACATAAAATGCTAAGACGGAATTATTAAGTCATTATAAACTCGAAATCTTGTGTTATATTATTCAGATTTCATTATCATCATTTTGTCAGAGGTTCATAGAACACTATGTTCATGAACTTTAATTCGAAGTCTTGAGAGAAAACATATAAACAAAATGAATTTTGGTGTTTGTCATATTTTACTAGTACAAGAACTAATTATTTGAACATTGAAACTTGCAGAGCTTTCATATTGATAAAACAACTGGGAAGAAATGTTATATGATTGGAGCAATGGAACTTGGTATTGATGATAGGAAATTTGAACTTGAAATTGATGAGAATTATTTTGAATGGAAATTGACATCTCATGCAGACTCCAGGTATCATCATTCATCATATCTTAAGCTTTCAAATTTAATATGGAAATTGCATTTTCGTAAGGAGATATATCAATTATGCGATGTGCAGATTCTCCAGGGTGGGAGATTTTAGATTTTTTTTGGACGTTGATATCCGAGGGAAGATCGAAACAGAAATGCTATCCCCAAAGACTCATTATGCAGCTTATCTCGTGCATAGATTAGAAATGTCTTACATCAAACTTCGACCAGCAAAAGGGATTATCAAGTTTGTTAATCTTGATGAAGATCATGATGCAGAAAAGCGAGGTACTGCTTTGCACCTTCAACCAGGTTTGGCGGGTAAAAGTCTACAGACTGCAGTAAGTAGACCAGACGGATGGATGGAAGTACAATTGGGAATGTTTTATAATGATCTTGGAGACAAATGGCCCCGTGGAGGCACGACTGTTGAAAGGGGGTAAAAAATTTATGCTGTTGAAAGGGGATAAAAAAATTATGTCTCACCTCGTTATTGAAGGAATTGAGTTTCGAGCTGCTACAAATGCAGAGAAATAGCTTGGTGCAAAAGAAAATGTGAGAAACCGAAGAAATGGGATCTTTTCAAAATTAAGGATTTATGGATAATATAGAAATAAATTTTCTGGCCCCCTCTGTTTTGCTTTCCTTTTCTCTTCTTTGAAATGCATGTGGAATGACTGAGAAAAATGTGGAGTTGCAGCAAAGAAACAAGTGAAAATTTTTCAGCAAACTGTTATGTAAATATTATAGGGTTCGAGTTTAAAATTAATTGGTGACTTGATATTCGAGACAATATAGATACACAAATGTTGTCCCGATGAAATGGAATAGGGAATAAACAACATGACGATCACAAGTCCATTGATTTCATGAAGACTGATAAAGGATCAAGGTTGTACAATGAATTTCACATTGCACAAAATTTCATTCATAAAAAGCAAACTCTCTCTATACTTGTGCTTCTAATAAGCACTCAAAACCTAATTTCCCAATTCAATTTCCATCTTCATGCTACTGATCTTCAACATGTCCCCAAAGACTTCTCTTGCTGCTTATCTTGTATCTAATCAGTAAATGTGATTATCAGATTAGTTAGTCATGCAACAAATGGTGATGCCAAGAAGCGACCAAGTTCAAGCTGACGCTTATTTTATAAATGCGGAAAAAAAAAAGGAATGTTTTATAATGATCTTGGAGACAAATGGCCCCGTGGAGGCACGACTGTTGAAAGGGGGTAAAAAATTTATGCTGTTGAAAGGGGATAAAAAAATTATGTCTCACCTCGTTATTGAAGGAATTGAGTTTCGAGCTGCTACAAATGCAGAGAAATAGCTTGGTGCAAAAGAAAATGTGAGAAACCGAAGAAATGGGATCTTTTCAAAATTAAGGATTTATGGATAATATAGAAATAAATTTTCTGGCCCCCTCTGTTTTGCTTTCCTTTTCTCTTCTTTGAAATGCATGTGGAATGACTGAGAAAAATGTAGAGTTGCAGCACAGAAACAAGTGAAGATTTTTGAGCAAACTGTTATGTAAATATTATAGGGTTCGAGTTTAAAATTAATTGGTGACTTGATATTCAAGACAATATAGATACACAAATGTTGTCCCGATGAAATGGAATAGGGAATAAACAACATGACGATCACAAGTCCATTGATTTCATGAAGACTGATAAAGGATCAAGGTTGTACAATGAATTTCACATTGCACAAAATTTCATTCATAAAAAGCAAACTCTCTCTATACTTGTGCTTCTAATAAGCACTCAAAACCTAATTTCCCAATTCAATTTCCATCTTCATGCTACTGATCTTCAACATGTCCCCAAAGACTTCTCTTGCTGCTTATCTTGTATCTAATCAGTAAATGTGATTATCAGATTAGTTAGTCATGCAACAAATGGTGATGCCAAGAAGCGACCAAGTTCAAGCTGACGCTTATTTTATAAATGCGGAAAAAAAAAAAACAAAAAAAATACTTGTGCCTGCATTAATGAGAGCATCAGTTTACAGATTCAAAGCCTAAGCTGTTTAGATACACGCAATTATATATCACTCGCCAGAATCTGAGCTTTTCTCCCATTGGTATCTACTGCATGACCAGCAGCATGAACATACCACTGATAATGAGTTGAACAAAATCATAGAAAATATAGATTGAATTTCCCAATTTCGAAGGGAAGAAAGAGCAGATACACAATAATTTATCTCACAGGACTGCAGTCCCGACCTCCTGGCAGTTCAAATAACAAAATAAACAGCTTCCACAAAAAACTAGTCGAGCCTTTTTTACGTTGGAATAGAGCAGATTGTCCTTGGTCAGTGGCATATTCAAAAGAAAGTGGATCTGCACCAAACAACATGATTCAATGAGACCATTTTATGGAAAGCTAACCACAGTTTAAAAAACTTGAGACGGGTACTGCTTGTCTACTAGTATGTACAGTGGATACAATCTTCGAGTCCAGAAAAGCCATATAGTTGAAATATGCATAAATAGGAAGTGCTTCAACACGACATATTTCCTATCAGTCTCACACCAAAAAACATTATTCGAGAACTCATCACGTAAAAAGTAAACGATAATAGGAGCTAGTAATAATTTTTTAGGATTGGAGTCTTAATTTATTTATCTTCATAAAATTAATAATTTATTCAATAATTGATTAATTGATTACCGATATTGTAACTAGTGTTATTTATATTAGACTGGGGCATCCACAAGTTGCTTCATTAGCTTAGACAATTACTACTACTTAAGAGACATATTCTTGTGTTTGGCCAATAGTTTTGTGACACATCGACTTGAATAGCGATAAGTGAAATGTCATCTAGAATGCTTAGATATGATAAAATGTTTGGCTAACACGATACAGTATTAAGTTCAAATTTTATGCTATACCAAGATTACGTTCTAGATTTCACTTTAACCAATTTGACCTTACATGCGGAATTAATCTAACTAAAGCAACAAATCACTTTAATTAGTTGTCTAGGTGATTAATCATATAAGTCAATTAACCTATGTTGAAATGCCACAGTTTGTATATTATGGAAAACAATAAATAACAAACAATATGATGACGGAGAAACTTCAACGTGGGTAAAACTTCGGGACAAAGCCAGTTACTTCTGCTATACCAATTCAGTAAGTACAAGTTATACCAAATTTTGTACCCAATCAGACCTACTGTTCCAATCTCACGATCTACTATTGTAGATACTTCTAGCCTCCTGCTAGACTTCCCGATGAAGCCCAATCTCCTGTCCACTACAACCTCCTGGTCCTTAACTGATTGTATAACCAAGTGGAACACCAAGAACCACCCGTTCTTATGCCTGTAACTGTGCCTCAATCCACCTCTCTCAATCCTCCAATGTGAGAATCCCTTCCTCAATAGATTAAGGAAGTAAGGTGTTTTTGGTTATGTAGATTCGATGTTTTTTCCCAAAACAATGGTTGTCAGATCATAAGATTGATGTGGACAAAATCTCCAATAAATTGCACCTTGGATCTTTTCAAAGATGTTATGAATATCTTTTGCAATGAAAGAATAATGTAACAACCTCCCCAAATTCGTGCTAGAGCTTGGGTTTTTATATTTGAAGGTGTCTAGGTGGTATGGGCCAAGTAAAACACTTCAAAAATGTGAACTAGGGGTTTTGCCACATGGGAATGTTGCTTGAGCGAGATGCCAGCGAGAATTGAGTGAGCGGTATTTTGTTTTTTTGCTCAAGCGAATTGCTAGTGAGAATCGAGCGACAGTGAGCAGTCGTTAGTATTTTTATTATAATTTTTTCTCCTGATATCCGATTAAAGTGATTCAACTTGTGTTGAAAAGATAATTCAAGGGAATACAATTCTTATGGAAATAGACTCGTCCAAATTCCATCATTTTCTATGAAAAAAATGTGTTGAAAGTTATGACTGAAAATCCGGAACATAATTTGTGTGGCTCTTTGATATCCTTTAAACTTCCAATTGCATCCCAATGATCTTATGTGATCTTTTTAGACATTTTGGACTCCTTCAAAGACTCGAACACCATCTATATAAAATTGCACCCTAAGCCCTTGACTTTTACAATAATGTTCAATTGAGTCCCTGGCTTTTACAAACATACAATTACGCCCGTTTTGTCTACAAAATTGCCAATCACACTTTCAAACCTAACAATAAGGAGTTTAGTTTCTTCTCCATATTAGTATGATGTGGATTTCACAACACTTATATCCAAGAAATTTTCGAAGTGATAGGGTTTCTTAAGTTTTAAGACACCATAAATTCTCTGTTTGATTTCGTAGAATACGTAATTTTTCCATTTTTTTCCCTTAAGATTCATGTATATAGTCTGCATTAAGTTGCTTGTGTTATTAGATTTGGATATTTCTGGAACAGTTTTGAACCTTTTAGTTTGAAGATAGACTAAAAACTATACAAGTTGGACCCCTTAATTATCCTTTTAGATTACACGTCCATAGCTTGTTTAGGTGAAAGTATATGTATAATTTTCATTTTGACTAATCTATGATCATTTACGAAGCAGGTAAAGTTTGACTAATTTGTTGGATGAAATCAGCCTGTGTGGAACATGTTTCTCCATTATGGATCACAATACCAATATAACTAAATTTAAAGTTAAATGAACTTCAACTGTATCCTCTATGCATTCCAGACCATATAATGCCGTAGACCAAGATTTCATTCTTTATACACTGTACGTGTATCTTTCATTAGAAATCCCATTTAAAATCTGTTGCGCAAATCCCATGTTAAAGTTTCAATAGTTCAAGGAGGATTCTCATATTTTGAGATTTTGTATCTAACAAGATTTTTGTTAACAGAGATACAGCTCAATGTCTAATAACTATGATAATTGGGAAAGACTTGTGGAAACCGTGCTGCTGAGACAACATGACCGGGACTTGCTTTAGCTCATTCCAGGAGACCAAGTACAAGCTATAGTATCATATTTGATTCTGGTACTCAAATTCATGACAATGAGAATATTCAACTTGGATCATCTTCTAATATTGTAAATGAAAGAAATTGGGAGAAGTAGAAAATGAAAAAAGGTTGTATATTTGTTGTGTATTTTTTTCTCATAAGAAACATGAGTACAAAGCTAAAATATTTAAATACATAGACAGCCAAAAGATTTCCATAAACATAGCAGTAAAAATGATATGTTAATATGCTCTTCAATCCTTGATTTATTTTGTGTTTAAAGCAGGTTGAGTGATTTCTTGGGCTAAATGATATGCAAGATCTTGATTGATAATCTTTGATTCCTATAGTGCATGATTGGAGTTTCCATCTCTAATACCCTCTCGCAAACTATGCCGGTGTCAGAGTCAGAGTTTGGGACGAAAGTAATTGAGGGAAGCCTTTGTTACAAGCTTGGTGAAAAGTTCTGCAACCTGGTAATCAGTGGAGATATGGCGAGTGGTAAGTAGTTCAAGTGCAACTCTTTCACGGACAAAGTGGTAATCTAACTCAATGTGTGTGCTTCGGGCATGAAACACAAGATTAATGGTCATATGAAGGGCACTGAGGTTGTCACAGTACATGATTGGGGAAGAACCCATAGGAATGCGAAGGTCGTTTAAAATAAAAGTCAACCACGTGAGTTCTGCAGTAGTGTTGGCCATGGCACGGTACTCAACCTCGGTACTGGTACGAAAGATTGTATGTTGTTTCTTCGACACCAGAAAATGAGGTTGCCCCCAAGGTAGGTACAGTAGTTGGTGGTGGAGCGCCTGGTAGTGGGACACCCCACCCAATCTACATTGAAAAAGGCACATAGATCAAGTGAAATGTTAGATGTGAAGTGTAAACCGAGGTCAATACTACCTTTAACATATCATAGGATACGCCGAACCATTTTCAAGTGAAGGATGGTGAGAGCATGCATGAATTGAGAAATGTAATTAACACTATAGGAGAGATTAAGACGTGTGAGGGTAACGTACTGTAAAGCCCCTAACAAGGCCCCGAAAGTAACTTGGATCTGCCAACGAAGTGTTATGTAAGGAGGCCTTTTCTTTTGCTTCAAGTGGTGTACTCATAGGTTTATAGTCTATCATGTTAGAGCGCTCGAGTATGGTAAGGGTGTAATGAGATTGTGACAAGAGACGGCCATCTTGTGTCCGGGAGATTTCAATACCAAGGAAGTGATGCAACGGTCCTAAGTCCTTCATAGCAAATTCACGACCTAGCAAATGAATAAAGGTTGTAACAATTACCATAATGGAACCTGTAAATAAGATATCGTCAACATAAAGTAGCAAGATTAGTGAACCATGAGGAAAATGAAAAATAAATAGGAATGGATTGGCCAAGCTACAAAAGAAACCATATTTAAGGAGGAAGGCACTGAAACGATCAAACCAGGCGTGTGGCGCCTGTTCAAGGCCATAGAGAGCCTTTTGAAACTTGCAAACGTGTGTGGGATGCTATGGGTCAGCCATTCTTGGAGGTTGCAGCATATATATATTCTCGAAAATAAGGCCATGGAGGAAGGCATTCTTTACACCCAGTTGATGAATGACAGGAGAAAAGGTCTCAGTGTAGTCTATGCCATAAATCTGATGATATCCTTTTGCAACCACATGGGCCTTGAGGCAATCTAAAGAGCCGTCGTGTTTGAGTTTGGACTTGAAAACCTACTTAGAGCCAATGCATATCAGGGACACGGGGAACAAGTTCCCACGTCTAGTTTTGATGTAGGACAGCAAGTTCTTCGTCCATGGAAGCTTTCCAACCAAGATGAGCCAAGTCCTCTCGAACATTGGAAGGTTCAGGAAGGATATAGGCAGAGGATATGGTAGTCAAGGCATATTTTGGGTTGGGTTTAACAACTCCAAGGCGAGACCAGGTAACCATGGGGTGCGAGGCTAGAGCATGTGGGGGCTAGGAGATTTTTGGTGCACGCCTCAAATTTCGGTTGTGAAGAAGGCTCAGAAGCAACACAAGAAACAAATGGAGATGGTTCGAACCCAAGTTGTGTGCTGGCTGGATGAGAAGTTAAAGTCGTATCCTCAGGTGATGCAAATCTGGTGAGATGGAAGATTCAGCATGTCCAAAATTTGGAACGTGCGGAGCCACTGATGGCAAAGGACTCAGGCATGGAGGAGGAGATGTTACGGGAGCTAGGGGAGCATGTGTTGATGGAGCCGTTGATTGAGGAATGAAGTCAGGATGCGGTAACCAAGAATCAAAAATGCTAATGACCTACGATGAGGTGGGAGAGGTATTAGTTTTATGATTAGTTGAAAATCTAACTCATCAAAGACAACGTGCCGCGAGATTAAAAAAAAATTTTGCTTGAGGGATGAAAACAGTTGTAACCTTTATGTTTATCACTAAAGTCTACAAAGATGTAGGGAATAGTCTTAGAATCAAATTTGTGGCGTCATGTGTCCCAAGTGTAAGGAAAACATTTAGAGCCAAAAATGTGAAGTGAGGAGTAAATAGGATGAGTACCATGTAATGTAAAATATGGGGTCTCAAAATTAAGAGCAGATGAAGGTAGGTGATTCATAAGGTAGGCAGCCGTAGTGAAGGCTTTGACCTATAGAAAAAGAGGGGTACCACTATGAAATAGCATAGACATACCAAGTTCTCATATAGTCCTATGGCGTCTTTCAACCATACCTATTTGTTCTAGAGTGTACAGGTAAGATACCTGATGAATGACTCCTGTAGACAAAAAATGAGATTATAGTTTCGAGTTGATGAATTCGCCACCTCCATCAGGGTGAAAGATTTTAATTTGTTTATTGAATTGCCTTGTAACATATTGCTTAAAGGAGATGTAAGCAGTAAAAAAATCAGAATTATGTCGTAATGGAATGATCCAAGTATATTTAGAGAAATCATTGACCAAGCATGCATAATATCTAAATTTACCAATAGACAAAATAGGGGCAGGTCCCCATAAATCACATTGTATTTTTTTAAATACATTAGAACTCGAATGTTCAGAGCTGGAAAATGGTAGTTTACTAAGCTTTCCTAGTTGACAACTATCACAAAGGTGTTCAGATTTCATAGTCCCTGTGACATCAATTAATCCTTTATTTTTCAATAATTGTAAAGCCAAAGGTTGAGGGTGTCCCAAGCGTTGATGCCAAACTTCTGTCGATCCTGATTTGAAACTATGGGAAAAATACAATTCTGGTAAAGTGGGGAGAACAGAGAGGTCACCCTTGCGCTTCCCTGTTATTATTGGCCATCCTATTTCCCGTTCTTTAACACAAAAATCAGTATTAGAGAATTCACAATTAACAGGAAATTGACCAGTATGCTGACTTAAGGAGAGCAATTTTTTTGTTAAGTCAGGAACAAGTAGGACATCACAAAGAGGTAAGGTAATATTCTTCTGTTTAATGCAAGAGTCACCAATACCAAGGATAGGTAGAGAGGATCCATCTCCAATAAGAATTGAATCAGTACCAAAATATTCACGTATGTTGGTTAACATACCTGGCTTACCTGTCATGTGATTAGAAGCTCCCGTGTCTGAGGTCCATTCAGTGTCTGTGATGGAGTTGTCTAGTGTAAGTGCTGCAAGTGCTTATGGTATATCATCACATTGAGTAGACTTCTTGGGTATCCACCAACAAATTTTGGCGATGTGACCCATTGATCCACAGTACTGGCATTGTTCCTCTCGGTATAGATCTCTTTCAACGGGAGTCATACGACGTTGTCTAGGCAGCGGAGGACGACGTTGATGAGTTAAAGGAGTGTAATCGTTCAAATAGCTTTGGTTATGGTCCCTTGGTTGTTGTGCTTGGAAGCCTCACCAGTGGAAGTGAATTTCTGTGAGTTGCCACGGTACCTAGAAAGAGGCTATTGAGGCCGCTGCTGCTGTCCATAAAATACCAATTGAGGAGTAAACTGGGGACTTGGTGGATTGGCATGATTAAAAAAGCAACTGCGCCTCTGATCAAGATTTTGGAGCTGTGAAATCAGCTCAGTGTATGTTGGTCTTGGTGGCTTTAGCATGGTGGTTGTGAAGGTTTCATATTGAGGCCCAAGACTGGTGAGAAGGCAGAAAACTTTCTCTTGGTCAGGGACGGGTTTGCCAATGGCTACAAGATAGTCACACAATCCTTTGAAGGTGCGTATATGATCTCCAATTGTTTTGTCTTCCTCCTTGCGAGGGTAAGTCAGTTGCTGTCGTAAAGTTAACTCACGTTCCTGTGAGTCCTATGCATATGCATTTTTTAGAGCTTCCCATACTGCATGGGCTATGTCTAAGCTGACAATGAGTCCAAGAGTTTCCTCAAAAAGTGTTCCAATGATCCATCCTCAAAGAAAAGGATCAGACTTTCGCCAGTAATGAATTCTTCTGTTAAACTGGGAACAATATTTTTTTGTCTCTGTGATATTGTTTGGATTTGATGTGGTGTATTTGGAGGGGTAGGCTCTTCATTTGTGAGATGGCCAACTAGCTCCTAACTTTCTGCAAGAGCCAAAGCTTGTTCATGTCATAGGGGATACTTGGTTGGAGTGAGCCTGAGTGTAATGAAGTTGCCTACGTTTAAGGATAGAGAGGTCATGGTGTAAAAAAAAAGACTTTGGTGTGTTAAGCCCTGTACTCACACAAGCTCTGATACCAAGCAGAAAATGAAAAAAAGGCTATATATTTGTTGTGTATTTTTTTCTCATAAGAAAAATGAGTAAAAGGCTGAAATATTTAAATACATAGACAGCCAAAAGATTTCCATAAACACAATAGTAAAAATGGTATGTTAATATGCTCCTCAATCCTTGATTTATTTTGTGTCTAAAGCAGGTTGAGTGATTTCTGGGGCTAAATGATATGCGAGATCTTGATTGATAATCTTGGATTCTTGCAATGCATGGCTGGAGTTTCCATCTCTAATAGGAGAGATTGCAGCTATCAGATTATGAGGACATCATCTCCAGATTTGAGGATCCTTTGGCCTATGCAACCATAAAAAACCTCTACTCGAGTCTTTGTGACTCTCCAATTTTACTTGATGGAGGACAAATGGCAACACCATAAATTTCTATAAATTTCTATATTCTGCTGTTAATTGTGGACTTAACCTAAATAAAAGGATTAATTATTTGAACATTGAAGAATGCAGAGCTTTCATAATGATAAAACAACTGGGAAGAAATGTGTTATGATTGGAGCAAGAAACTCAAAATTTTATGGGGTGAAATCCCAGAATTCTGGAAGTTGGCATCTCACCCAGACTCCAAGTCCTTAACCATATACAAGATATATCTTTTTTCTTTTGAATTTCCTTTGAAATTGCATGTTAATAATATTATGTGCAGATTCTCAACAGTGGCGAAGCTTAAACAAGTTTTGAGGTTTGATATTCGAGGACAAATAGATACAAATATGTTGTCGCCAGAGACACCCTATGCAGCTTATCTAGTATATGGATTTGCGAATTCTTACAAGGGTGGTCCCTTGTTAGCAAATGCAATTATCAGTTTTGATAGAATTAAGGATGGCGATGCTCAGAAGCGAGCTAGTGTTTTCAACCTTAATCCACGGACAGATAGAAATGGGAATACTGCAATGAGACTCGATAAGTGGATGGAGGTAGAAATTGGAAGCTTTTATACTGATCAAGAAAATAACAGTTGTGGAGGTGCGAGTATGGAAGAATAAACAATGTTTGAAGCCCGTCCTCATTGTAGAAGGCATTGAATTTCGACCCCCCAATGATAACAGTGTGATTTTTCCAAAGAAAACTGTGAGAGAGAAAAGGAAAGGGAGTCGAAGAATCTTTTCAATCCATAGGATTTTTGGATGAATCTTTACAGTCCTTAGGATTTATTTTCTTTTCTGTCTTCTCCCAACTTGTTCAGAGTGGGGCTAAAGTTGCTCTGCGAGAGTACTTAACCTTATTTGGGCTGAACAAGTTATTAGTTATCTAAATAATAAGTAATATCCCCACCCCTGAAGTTATGTAAACATTATTTAAGAAATATATGTTACAACATATGCAGAAGAATCATACTTTGAGAGAAATAACTTGGGAATGCTCATCCACATTTCAATTACCATGGTTGTCTATGCATGTGCAAAACTAATGAAGTGATGATATTTTTTTTCCTTATATTCTCTATTTTCAGAAGAGATGTTGAATGTTGATACATAGCTGCATCTAAATAAAGTATTAAGTGATGCAATGTGAATCAAGACGGAAATGTGAATAATTCTGGTTGATTCCAAGTGAATACCAAATAAGGTTAAAAAAAATTTAAATTAAAGGGGGAAATGAATATTTTTAAACCTTAGAATCTCTAGATGAAATGAATAAATATTCAGTGTCGCCGCCTGATTTGTCTTCCTTTTCGCCTTCTCCCAACTTTTTCGGTGTAGGGCTGAAGCTGCAATGCTTGACTATTTATCCTTACTTGGATTGTAAAACACAAGTTACTAGTATTGTAAAGCCCCCACCAAGTTCCTAGTAGCTCTGCCCCTAAAGTTATGTAAATGTTATGTAAGTAATATATGTTACGACACACGTAGAAGAATCATACTTTTAGAGAGAAATGACATGGGAATGCTCCTCCACATCTCAATTACCATGGTTGTCCATGCTTGTGCAAGTATGATGCAGGAATAAGAATATTTGTATATTCTCTATTTGCAGTGGTGATGTTGATAGATATGTATATATAAAGGCACAACTGACCTTTTTTCTCTCTCTCTCTCTCTCTCTCTCTCTCTCTCTCTCTCTCTATATATATATATATATATATATATATATATATATATATATATATATATAATTTGGAACTACAACCGTCAAAAGAAACAGGAAAGAAAACAATTAAGTGAAGAGGCTAATGCAAGGATTTAGGAGCTAACAATAAGTCGTGTTTGAAACCAGTATGGATGGGGTTCGGTTGAGAACTCTGCCACCAATTTTTGACATTGAGGTAGACCAAAAATATCAGAGATGTAGGTAAAGGAAGAGACAAGAACAATTGAGTCCTAAGTGTCACATAGTGGGAATGCTTATCTCCCCATGGGGCAAGGTAAAGTCGCCAACAACTACACGTATGTTATCTTTTATCAAGGAGTGCACTAATGATATGATCTCTAGCAAGTAATACCTAACATCCAATTCAGGTTTTGTGATTTTTGGGGGCCTAGGACCTTCAAAAATAAGGCCAAAAAAAAAAAAAATTGTATTATGCATGATTTGTGTATTATGGTACTAACCATGAAGTTAACTTAATAATTAACTATAAAACAAAATAAAAAAAATGTATTATAAACTTTATCTGATTCTATTATTTTCAAAATAGATTTTTCTCTTCTTTTTTATTCTACCACACATTCTTTAATAAAATAACATTACAAGCAAACCACAAACTTTTCCTTATTTTTTAACCACACATTTTTTATCAATCTATCATTCCAAAATGCATTTTACACCAAAAATAGGGCTCAAACAAGCTTATAGTCAAAATTATTATTATTATCAAATAACAATGGGCCCGCACAATCGATCCTACAATTAAATCTAACTAAAGTCAATATGACCCAACAAGGGTACAATACTGCAACACAATCAAATAAGTTGATAAGGCTTCAAACATTTCCTATATGTTTATAAATAAACGAGTGCAAGCCATTGCTTGCCTGAAAAATAGGATTTGAGCAAAAATTATGAAATGACACAATGTGACACTTTGAGATTTCTATCATCACAACTCACAATCCTGAAATCAAAATTTAATGGCAACAACAATGACAAATTAATTATTGAAGATAAATTTAAATTAAACATGAAGATATATTTAATACCTTTGGCGCCTGTAAATTATGTCAACACCTTTAAATTGCACCACTACAATACCTAAAATTCCTATATTTCTTACAATTGAGATGTGTACTGGTAAACTGTGAAACTCCAATGAGACATGAGTCAGGCTTGTCTCTGCCAGTCTATTAAATTACTAATCTTAATCTCAAAGTAAAGAACTGTTATTAATAAATAATAGATCCATGTTCAAGTTTTATCTAGAGTATCAACAATAAATTATCAAAAAGCCCTCTTTGCTTTGAGTTTGAGTTATAATACTTGATTGAAGGAAAACAAATCATATCCCAATTCATTGAATCCATAAAATACAGAATATTGTTCATAGTAGTAAGTTTGTCCAATTGCCATACACATTCTCCAATTATAAATAGTGCAACAGCTATATAATGGTTTTGTTTTATTACCATTTTTGATTATGTTGTTTTGTGTCAATAAAAAAAGTTAAAGATCCTAAATGGCCAAACCACAACAGCAAAACTCCAATTCCAATTATGAGCATAAACTAATCCAGCCAAGCAGTTTTTTTATAAAATTGGAAATTGGATAATACATTTTGGTTAGAATTGCAATAATGGTTTTGGAAATTTCAATAAAATAGCCCAAGTTCAGCCACTTCGCTTGAGAAATTGTTGGATGCAAAAAAAAAAAAAAAAAGAAAAAAAAAAAAAAAAAAAAAAAAAAAAAAGAAAAGAAAAAAGAAAAAAAAAAAAAAAAGAGAGAAGGAATACTGAAATCTGAATGAATATTACATATAAATTAGATTTTATATCGGTAAAGTAGGGCCATGTAGGTATTGGCGTGGATGGCGAGTTGGCGACGGTCGACGGACGGCTTAGACTTGAAAGAGAAGTGGGTTTTCGTGATGCAAACCCCATAGCAACGTTGACTACGAAACCCACAACGAGATTGACGAACCCAAAAAAGTCAAATTAATCCAAAAGTTTAGGATTAACCCAAAAGAAAGTTGAACCAAAAAACCCAACAAGAACGACGCTTGTAAGACCCCTTGATCACACAATCTAAGAATTAAATTTGGTTGTTTGAATGCCACAAGTTAACATTTGATAAGTTCGAAATTGTTCAATGAAGAACGATGAAGAGAAGACAATGCGCCTCACTTTTAATTCAATATTATGTATGTCAAAAGTTTTTAACAATTGAATGGAAACTCCTATTTATACTAAACCTAAAAACTAGATAAAAATCGTACAAAAGTCGATCATAATCCCCAAAATATGGAAAGGAATAAAAAACTAACAAAATATGGAAAATTGCCTAAATTAGGAATTTCGCAAAAAAAAATGGTCTATGCGACCACATAGTGTATTTCCATGCGGTCGCATGGTTCAGTCCGGTTGGCTCCTTTGAGTTTCGGTAAGCACCTATACGGTCGCATGGTGTTTTAGCCTTTGCTGTCGCATAGGCTTGTTTTCAACCTCCGATTTCGTCGCTTGATAACAAATTGATCCAAGTTGATTCGGCCTTCAACCCAAACATGAAAGTTGCTCCATTTTGAGTCCCGAACATGGTTCCATCAATGGTTTCTTGAACGAGTAATCACATCACTTGTTTCGCTTGCTTTGCCCTTGATCGCGTCATTGGTCCGTCATCGACTATCAACGGGTCTCGTCTCGTAGTTGCCTTCATCGGGCTCGACTCCCGGGTCATATCATCCCCTCCCTCTTCAAAAGGATTTGTCCTCGAAGCTAAACCTACATCAAACAGAGAGAGATCAGATACATTAAAAGTAGCCGAAACAGTATACTCACCTGGAAGGTCCAACTTGTAAGCATTGTCGTTTATCTTTTCAATCACTTAAAATGGTCCATTGCCCCTCGGTTACAACTTGGACTTCCTTTGCTCCGGAAATCGCTCCTTCCTAAGGTGCACCCAAACACAATATCCTGGCCTGAATGTCACGTGCTTCCTATCTTTGTTTGCCTGCGATGCAACCAACTTACTTTTGTTTTCAATTTGTACTTTTACCTTTTCATAGATTGACTTAACCAATTACATCTTCTTTTTGCCATCTAAACTACCACATTTATTCACAGGTAAAGGAATTAAATCCAAAGGAGTTAGTGGATTAAAACCATATACAATTTCAAATGGAAAATATGACGTAGTAAAGTGAACAGCTTAATTGTATGCAAAGTCAACAAATGGTAGACACTCCTCCCAATTTTTCAAATTTGTATTGATTACTATGCGTAACAATTGTGTCATAGTCCTATTCACTACCTCGGTTTGCCCATCCTTTTGTGAGTGACAAGTTGTGGAAAATAGTAACTTAGTGCCTAACTTACCCCATAAACTCTCCAAAAGTGACTCAAAAATTTGACATCCCGATCCAACACTACGCTTCTAGGAACACCATGTAAACGCACAATCTTTTTAAATATTAAGTCAGCAATGTTCATGGCATCGTCAGTTTTGTGACATGGTATAAAATGTGCCATTTTGCTGAACCTATCTACAACCACAAAAATAGAATCCCGACCTCTCTTAGTCTTAGGTAAACCTAAAATAAAGTCCATCGAGATATCAACCCAAGGCTCACTAGGTGTAGGTAAAGGTGTGTACAAACCTTGTGGTAAAACCTTAGATTTAGCCTTTTTACAACCTATACATCAACTACAAATTCCCTCAACATCACTTTTCATCTTAGGCCAATAAAAATGCTCCTTCAATACGTCTAAAGTCTTTTGAACCCCAAAGTGTCACATCAATCCACCACTATGTGCCTCCCTTACTAACAACTCCCGAATAGAACAATTAGGAACACATAACCTATTTTCCCAAAATAAATACCCCTCATACCTAAAGAACCTATCAATCACCCCTTTTATGCATGACAAATAAATATCCGAAAATTCAACATCTTTTTCATACAATTCCTTAATATGTTCAAACCCAAATAGCTTAGAATCAAGAGTAGTTAGCAATACATACCTTCGCGACAATGCATCCACCACCACATTTTCCTTATCTTGGTTATATCGAATGACATATGGAAACGTCTCAATGAATTCCATCCACCGCGCATGCCTCTTGTTCAATTTATCTTGTCCCCGCCAGTGCTTTAGTGATTCATGATAGGTGTATATTACGAACTCCTTCGGCCATAGATAATGTTCCCAAGTCTCCAAAGCTCGAACAAGTGCATAAAGTTCTTTATCATATGTAGGGTAATTTAAAGCAGCTCCACTCAATTTCTCGCTAAAATATGCAATAGGTCTCCGATCCTGTATTAAAACTGCTCCAACCCCTATTCCTGATGCATCACACTCAATCTCGAATGTTTTATCATAGTTAGGCAATGCCAAAACAGGTGCTTCACACTATCTACCTTTAATAGTATTAAATGCAAGTTCCTATTCATCACTTCAATGAAAACCTACTCTTTTTTTAACTACTTCCGTGAGTGGTGCGGTGATAGTGCTAAAATCCTTCACAAAACGCCTATAAAAACTAGCCAAACTATGAAAACTCCTAACTTCTGTTATACTTTTAGGTGTCGGCCAATCTCTAACAGCTTTTATCTTTTCATCATCTACTTCTACCTCATTAGCACTAACCACAAAACCAAGAAAAATAACTCTATCCATACAAAGCGTACATTTCTTAAGACTA